AGAGAGAGAGAGAGAGAGAGAGAGAGAGAGAGAGAGAGAGAGAGAGAAACAATAAAATACATTTTTGTGCTCCAGGGGCATAATGAACCGACTGTGTAGGGCACTTACTATGGAAACAATTAGAATAACTGCAGGAGAGCATGGTGGGCAGAACCAAGGCTCTCTGTGGGTAATGATGAGTTAGTCCCTTCATCTCCTCGTTTAACCTTCACAGTGCATTTTGTTATTGTTTCAGTGAATCACACACAAAAAAATTGAAGCTTATGATCTCAATGCCACATTGGAGTGTGCTCACTGGGAAGCCCAGGGCCACCCCTCACTCTTAAGGAAATTTAGGGACCTTTGTACTTTCTATGACACTTCCCACACAGTCCAGCAGGTGGTAGCCTAGGCAGGGACAAATCTCTTCCTTCCCCTTCCCCAAGTGACAAGAAGATTTATTTGAAAACTGGGAACTATGTAGCTCAGCCCTGAGCCTTATTTTCCCCACACAGAAGGATTTCCTAGGTTGTCCTCTGCATGGTTATTAGGATATAAACCACCTACCACAGAAGAAGGCTAAAGTCATTTTGTGTACATATGTGATCACATGTGATCACGTGTGATCATGCAGTATTCTGAACCTCATTTTTTTTTTTTTGTTTTCTTTGTGTTTTCCAGAAATTCCTCTGATTTTATATCTCTTTGCCCTGATTTCTATGACATGGCTTTGGGGAGGACTGCATATGGCCTACAGACACTTCTGGATGTTGGTTCTCTTTGTCATTTTCAATAGCCTGCAGGTAAGCCAGGCCTAACAAGGCAACACCCATTTAACAAATGCAAAACTCAGGTGTCAATGTTCAAAAAGTAAGAGTCTTCAAGCAGATGAGTTTGTGTGCATAATGGCAAAAAAATGTTCTAGAAAAACGTGGTGGGGGCTAAATAGCTAACATTTGAAATATGTCTGGAATTCCAACTTACCCATCATGTACACATGAAAAGGAAAATGTTTGTTTCTTTTCAGCAATATTAAGTAACTGCAAAAATATGTTCTTTATGAATAGTTATAATGAGATAGAAACCATGTAGAACTGACGCACATATATGGGCCATAGCTGTGTCTAGACATTAGGTCAACTGAGCCGTGAAATGGATGTTTAAGCAATTTCCCCTTAAACTCTAATGTTTAGATGTAAGAATATTTCAGTGACTAAAAATGATTTGGCCCTTTTCTGAGTCCAGTAATGGCAAGTTTCAATTAATTTTACAAATATGTTTGGGTAGTATGACTAAAAGCTATTAGTGCTTTTCAGTGCTTTTGTTAAGTGGGAAAATGGTTTACCCTGAAATTATCAACCGGAACAAATGAACACATGTTTCTTATTGTCCAAAGTGAAAAAGTCCCTCAGCCTGAAATAATGTAATGAAATCATCAAAAGCACTTTTACATCATCATTATTTTGTACACCATCTTGTTAAACATATGTATATATGGGTATACACATACAACTAGAGTCATAGCATACAGATGAAATATGAGTCAGTGGTAGAGCTTTACCTAGCACACACGAGACCCTTGGGCAGAGGACGGGATATAATCAGAATGTAGCCTTCATGATGGCATTTAATCAAAGCATATTATCTGGTTAGGAAAGAAAATGATACCGTGACCTACATATTTGGAATCAGGTGAAACATGGATGGGCACATCTGTTTAGGACTATGGAGTACTTAACACTGCCAAAACCTATAGAAGACAGCCATACCCCTGTAGAAGTGATGACTGCAGAGAGTAAACAATTAGCTACAAGGTATGCTATGGCAGGTGACATTTAAGCAGAGTGTTGTGAGAGCTGAATAAAGGGCCATTTCCCTCTGCCTGTGCCAGCATGCAATAGATGCACAAAGGTGAGTTATTTGGCCACCTCTGGATACCTGTGTTCTAGCTGAAATAAGATCAAAGTCTACCCTGACAGCCTGCTTATATGTGACAAAACTTTTCCTGGGGAGACAAAACATTCTCAACTACTCACCCCGGATAGGCAGTCCACAACATACCAAAGCACAGATACCACGAAAGTCTAACTCAGTGAACAAATGAGTTTTATTGGGGTTACTTAAGGAGGGGATATTGGATGAGGGGTTACTTACCAGGAGCAGAAATGACTCAAAGACAGCTGCATCACCAAGATCCCTCCCAGCATGGGCGACAGCTCACAAAGCTGGTAGCCTAGGGCACACTGCACAGCCTGTAGACAGCTCCTCAGGTTGGAGAGTGTCCTTTCTGAGTGCTTCAGTTGTCTAAACCTTTTCAGGCAGCTCGGCTGGACTCAGTACTCCTTGGCAGCTCAGCTTGTGTTCTGGAGTCTTCTTCGAAGCATCGCTCTGTTTACTCTGTCAGGGAAGGGCCTGGTGAATCTAGTCAGTTTGAGGGACTTCTTGAAGCTGTGTTTTAGGGGTTTAGCTTCCTGTTTAAGGAGCTCTCTTGCAGGATGGAATGTTGTGATCTCAGAGAAGACTGTCAGACCACACCTGCGCATGTGTTTTATTGTATGGCTGCACAGTGCTACACAGGAATGACTCAGAGTTTTAAATGCTTGCTGCAGACCCTTAAAACTGAAAATCATTAAAAACCTGAATTTCTGCCTTGTGATAGAGCAGTGCCTGCATGGAGGTGGTGTCCAAGTCCCAAGAAGGAGCCATTTGTGAGATAGATTATGTGACATCATGTAGTATGTGGTGTGCCTTATTGCTCCTACCTGAGTCCGTGCTTTTTAGACAAATGAAGAAAGAGTGCTATCAACAGGCTACTTCAGGCTGAGAAAACAGTGTTAGCCAAGGTTGTAAAAGAAGAAAATGATTAATATTAGATTAGGAGAAGGGTTGACAGGAGGAAGAAAGGTGAAAGAAGGAAGAAAGGGCAGCTTGACTTCTGTACCAGCTCTCAGGATGGTTGCCAGCAGCCTCATCCAATAGGAAGCCTTCAGACTTGGGTGTTTTGATTATTTTATCTTCTTGGATTTTTCTTGTCAATTTTAATCTTTTTCTCCCTCTGAATGGGGATGACATGCTGATATGCGTATGCTTACCCTTTCAGAGAATGTCTAGAAATGTTTAGAATGAAATACTGAAAAGAGTCACTGTGAGCAGGCAGGCTGTAGTCATCTGAACTATGGGTATTCTGACAGTGTTCCTGAGGTAGAGGCCAGTGACAGGTTTTAGAGATGTTGACATTTGTTTGGTGATTAAACATGAGGATATAGAATGCAGGAGAGGAACAGCATTGAGAAACTTCTGACTTGAGTGGTAAGTAGATGTGGACATCTTGCATCATATGAAGTCGGTGGTTCTGGAGAACACACAGCAGACCTGGTGAGATTTTGGAGACACTGTTAATTACAGAAACATTTCTGTGACTGGGTATGTGGAAATGCTAGTGAAAGAGATTGTTAAGGAGTGATAAGAAAGCACAGAGGGAAACCGATCTAAGAGTTTGGAGTCACTGTAGAAAGGAGAGCTTCAGCGAGATGCAGTACCTACTCCATGGCTGTGACAAAGCCAATAGAAAGAGAACATAGGAGCAATGTGACTTCATTGAGTGACCCCTTTCTGTGCATTCAAGGTGCATCTACTATAGGACTTCTACTATATCTGCTAGTAGACTAATAAATCTACTATAGATCTGCTAATAAGCAGATCATTAGTCCTCAGTCCCAGAGCTGCTCTTATAATATCTGGGTAGACTCTGAAAATGTACAGTTCTGACAAGTTTTTGAGTGATGCTGAATCAATGATTTAGGGATCACAGTTTGAATGGAGAAGGCAGGAAAAAAAAGCAGGGGGATTGTAGCTTAGGACCAGAAGGTGGTTCAGAGAGGAAATTTCTAAGCCTTGTGGGAAAAAAACAAACAAACAAACAAACAAAAAAAAAACAACGAGGAAGAAACTGAGAACTGTAAAAGCAGGCTTTGTGTATGGTCAGGCTGAAGCAAGAAAAGCAGAAGCACACAGCTTCTGTGAGGATGTGAGGGGACATGTCTGCCAACTAGAGAAGCTATCTACTCATGGCAGTGGTAGATATGAGAGGTTGCTGCAGCTGAGAGACAGGATTTGTGTCTAACAGCCTCTACTTGTAAGCCGAGCAGCAAGGTTGTGTGTGGAGGGGAGTAAATTCAAAGCCTGAGGTAACACAACATAGAAAGCTGGAAGCAACATGTAGGCAGAAAGTAACTCAAGCTATATTGGATAAACGGTCAAGAATTGAAATCAGGGGCATGTACAATTGTAATGGGGTCAATCAGAAGTCATTCGACTAGCCTGTAGGTCAAGACCCATTAGGCAAACCTCTATCCCCCAAAATATTTACATTACAAGTCATACAGTAGCAAAATTACAGTTAGGAAATAACAACAAAAATAATTTTATAGTTGGGGGTCACCACTACATGAGCAATTGTCTTAAAGGGTCACAGCATTAGGAAAGTTGAGAAGCACTGTATTAAATCAACACAAACTATAAGGCTATAGTGGTAGCCTATGTAATATACTGAATTTCATACTTAGGGGTTAAGCTCTGCAACAACTGTGCTAAGTATAATGTAGGATTTCAGTGGAAGACAGAAAAATCTATTTCCTCTTCTATGAAGTCCTTATTACAAACTAAGTATAAGTGAAAACTAAAATATTTCAAACTCATGTTTCATGAGCTAAATTTCCTCTCTGTGGCATTACTGTTTGGTGCCCAGCACCTGGCACATTGCTGATACCAGGGACTCAGCAAATCAGTCTTTAGAGTCATGCCTATAAAGGTGCATTGGAAATGGACATTTCTCTGGACTTGCTTGAATTAATTTAATTTATAAACTGCCTTGGATCTTCAACCTAAGAACTGCCACACATTATGCCTGTAGCATAGTAGGATCTGCCAGGTATGTTCCAAGAAGACTCAATGATCTGTGTTTAATTTTTTGTTGTTTTTTTGTGACCACAAACTTATATTGTATATTTGTGCTTGCTTGGGATATTTTGCTCAGTATGCCTGACTTATCTTTTAAAATACAGATTATTATGATGCTGTGGGTCCTGTGAGGCCAGAGAATAAATAATGTATTTCTTTACTATATAGTTTATGTATATATTGTTTGATACATTTTGAATAAGGAATCTTTATCATTTAAAACAGTGTCAGAAATGCATTAATTACTGGAAAGATACAAGTTGGATTATCACACTACTAATATATTTAAGCATTTGGGAGCCTTTGCATATAAATTTATGTATTTTAAAGCATTACAAATATAAATACAAAAGCAAGTTAAGAATTAAATCATCATTCTAACTATGTCTATTATATCTAGTATTCAATCTCTCATGAACTGTAAAAACAAACTAACAAACAAAACAGATATTTCCCCAAGAACTGAACTCTTATTCAAATTCTTATTGGTCTATACTCATTAGTCTTATTTCTCGGGCTTTTTTATGTGTGTGTGTGTGTTTTTTTTTTTTTT